CGAACACGGAATACATTGATGACTTTTTGGAACTAAAATATTTATCAGAGTATTTTTGTTTCAAATTAAGATCTGCTGTCAATTTAAAGATAATCAATGCTTGTTAAACATGTTGATTAGTAAATTAAATGATTAAAACTATGCAATGTAGAACTATTTGTGTATTGCTCAACTGTGTATCTAACTAAGGCGTATCATGGAATAGGTTTGAACGGAACTGTTTGAATACCCTCATAAATGTTAAAAAGTTGCATCTTAAATGAAATCACAGAAATTACGGAATGAATCGAAACTGGCTCGCATTAGCGGCAACACACTAAAAAGCACCTGGGTTGGACACCGTCCAAACTTGTGTATGGCTGTCATCACTATACCGACAATGTTACAGATACATGTAAAGAGCCTCCCTGTATTCCACCCGAGGGAAACCCCGATGGATTCCCAAGATCAGTGAAGGAACAGATGCCGAATATGTCATTGTCTTAGAACCTTGGTGCCGTTTGAGAGTCTAGTTAATGTGAAAGTCGAGTACCGATTGGAGGCTTTGATCGTTCTCAGGAACTTTGAATGACTGGACAAGAACGAACACTCCAGGAGGAGATGAATGAGGCGAGATGCGTAGCGAGAGAATGAGGACAACTCGGATGTTGATGTCACATCTTCTTAAACCAAAAATGGACCTAGGAACGCAGATTTCAAATATCAAGTTACCTGTCAGAATCGTTCTATAATGTTTCGGGTGTCTATGATAAACATATATAAACTTTCTATTAAAAAGTCTTTTATCATGATGTAAAGGAAAAATAGATTTAAAACTTTACATACAGGAAAATGTTTGATAAAAGCTATTCCATTAAAAAAATCTTTTATGCTTAGCCGAAATCCATTGTAAATATGGCAATTTTTCTGTAGTAAAATTCCATATTAATACCTAACTAAATATATGTATCCAGCAGATTGCATTACGACATTACGTCATGACGTCGGTTGGTTACAAAGAACAAATGATAATGAGCCAACACTTTTGATAACGTGACAAGCGTTTGTACCTTCAACTATTAACTATATGATTGACTTGGTAACTTGCACAATTGTAGGAATCTACAGTCAAAGAATTGAAGACAAGACCATAGTAATGCGTTTAGGTATTTCTGAATCAGTCCTGTAGTATATTATATTATTAACAGTTTCTAAAATAGTATCAACGATGACTCCATTGGTATTGCCATCATTCCTATTACCCGTCCTGGACATACTGCCTGGCCGAAACTTGATCGTCTCACAATTCATAGTGTGCTTCATGAGCTGGAAACATATGGCTAAGGGAAAAGGTTCAGTAAACGTGTATGCTAGTCTGGCTGAGCAAACAAACATGAACAAAGAAAACCCCCAGCCCAATGGTGAGTAGATGGAATGTATTCCAGATCACTGCGAGTTATCTCCCCTACTACAAAAAGAATAATCTCGTTCTTCGGATATGAAAATATTTAATTATTTTAAGTAATTATTGTCATCGGAGCTACCCCGATACATTTAGGACATGGCTCATCTTTCAGGCTTAATCGGCTACACTTGAATTCGGAAACCCAGTATTTTTCCTGTGTAGATTAGGGGCACTGTGACCATAACACTGGACAATTCATCAAATATTCCCTTTCCTGATTCCCCAATCAACTACGGGTATTTAATGACAGCCCTGCATTCAGCTTTTGACAAATACTTGCAAATATTTACCCCCGCCATACGTTTATACCACGTGTGTGTCTCAATAAAATTTCTTCAACTGAACTTTATCGATATACACAAGAATATCGACAACTGCAATATATGCAAAGCATGCAGTCGTTACGGCTCGATAAACGGTCTAAACCAGAACTACTGCGGACGGCTTTCCTAAAAAAGTAAATGAACACATTTTCGCGGTGATTATGAGGGTTTGTGTCCATGAAAGGCGGACAGCGATACAAAAAAATATCCGTGAACTGTTTTGAGCATTAGTTGTGAAACCCACGACAAAAGCCAAGATGAATACTTAGGCTGAAATCGTGATAATGACTGAAATATAGCAAGCTTTTCTAGTAATCTGCTGATAATCAAATAGTATCAACTTATTTCTCTCTCCTGGCCAACTTGTGCTTTTTTATTTTCGTACGAGGCTGGTTACAAACATTTTGCCAATTCCCTCAGTTTCAATTTCAGATACACTCAATGTCCATTGTCCATGTCAATCGCATTTACCGCCATGAACTTGAAATAAAGGACTCTTTTATATCAGCAAAGTACCTCGATCTTTACCTACAATATGACCAACAGGGATTACCTGCTACTAGGCTGCACAACACTCATGAACATTTAGTTTTTAGATCATGTACTTTCCCTTTCGTGAAAGTAAAAACCCGGTTGAGTCTGTATTCATTACTTTACTCTGAATGTCTCGATTTCCATGACATATGTTGCAATCATGCCTACAACATGTAGATTGATGAAGTTGATGGACAAGGTTTTGGCCGCCATTTTGATCGCATTGTACATATTATCTTTTTTATTTTGTTAAGTTATGTAAGATTATTTCATGCCCGGGGATGAATGATAGCGAAATTCCACCCGAGGGTTTTCAAATTTAGTAAAACACGAGGCTTTAAGGTATTGTTCTCTCATTCCAACTACCAAACTAACGTCAGAAACATTGACAATGCGTATGGACTGGCTACTGTTTCGAAAATATCAATTTTCCCCTGAGCTTTTTAGACGAAAACGTATCTATCGGCCGGATAAAGCATACACCATACGTGTAAACAAAGGTTGCACAGCAAACTTTATCTCATCTTTCTAACGTGTACGGTAAATATATCGTTAAATGTTTATTACTTCATCACGACGTCTTTTCCGCTTTGCGGCATCGGGGTTTTTCGAATTCGTGACGTCACGCCATTGTTGAGACATCACGTCACGTGAAATGGGGTGTAGGATTAATAGAATCTTTCACCCCTTGGGGGTGAGATAGGAGAATCTCAACCCGAGGGCGAAGATTCTGAAGTTGCCAAACACTATTAGTTATATAGTCAGTTACTGACCCTCTACATAACCATAGAGGGTCAGTAAGATGTATAGGAGGCTCGGGCTCCGCCCTCGCCCCCTATAAATCTTACTGACCCTCTATGGTTCTGTAGAGGGTCAGTAACTGACTATATAACGAATCTGAATTTATCGCATCGAAATGAAAGTGATGTAATGCATAACAAAACAATATGAATATTTAACAAATTTCGTCTAACCTCGCTGCGGTATAGCCTTCAAAATCCACATCCTGATGTTTCTCCATGAGATAATCCTTAAAACACTTCACACACGTCTTGTTGGCCTTTTGCGTTTGGCCAGACTGACTGTTTAGACGCTTCTTGTCTATTTCTTCCGTTGTCGTCTGCCCAAATCTCTCCATGTTGTTGTTGTGCTGTTGTCTCTCAATGTCACCGAAACGCTTAGATAAGGGGACGGCACCCACGCTAAAACAAAAGACGGTCGCTTGCGACAGCGTCTTACTAATTTTGCCTGGCGTAGGGGAAGCAACTCCTATCATTTTACGATACAATGTAGCGAATGGGAATTACGGTGAGCATTGTATCATTTTCAGAATATTCAGGTACCCGGTATCTGTTGTTTTAGTTTTGAAGCGGTGAGCAGTGGGCGGCCATATTGCCCTATAATGGAATCCTACTGACCCTATATAGAAAATTAGAGGGTCACCACGTGACAGCTCTAAACCAATGGATTTTGGACATTTTTGTCCGAGGTGCGATAAGAGGCTTTGCCGAGTGTTTGGCAACTTAAGAATCTTTCCCCGAGGGTTGAGATTCCCCTATCTAACCCACAAGGGGGTGAATGATTCTTTTTCTCTTACCCTGTTCCAATATTGTGTATCATATACGCAATGTTATAATAACATTACATGCTAAAATCAGGGTTGACGTGACGTTGATGGATTGTTGACGTGACGTCATTGTATTGTTGAAGTGACGTCATGCCATTGTCATGAAAAGGGGAATTCCCCCGTCTCAACTCTAGGGTGAGACAAGGAAATCTCACACCGGTAAAAGTGCGGATACACCTGTCCAGGGTAAGAGAATAATAGAATCTTTCACTCCCTTGGGGGTGAGATAGGAGAATCTCAACCCGAGGGGGAGGATTCTTAAGTTGCTAAACACGAGGCTGTGCCGAGTGTTTGGCAACAACAGAATCTTTCCCGGAGGGTTGAGATTCCACTATCTCACCCACAACGGGGTGAATGTTTCTTTTTCTCTTACCCTGTTCTTTCATTGTGTATCATATGCACAATGTAATGGTAACGTTACATGCTAAATTCAGGGTTGACGTGACGTTGATGGATTGTTGACGTGACGTCATTGTATTGTTAAAGTGACGTCATGCCATTGTTAGGAATAGGGGAATCCCCCCGTCTCAACCCTAGGGTGAGACAAGGAAATCTCACACCGATAAAAATGCGGATACACCTGTCCAGGGTAAGAGAAAGACATTTCCTTCACCCCTTTCTCATCTTGGACAGCTCTTTCTACCACCATTCACAGATGTGTCTCCCGTTTTAGCCGGGAAAGATCAGCTTGTCATCCCCTAGGGAGAGATAGCCTCGTGCCGATTAGCACGTTTATGAATTAATAGGACGGGAGAAATATAATCATCCCCTATCTTGATGATGTAAAAGAAAAGTTCTCTGTCACACCCTCAAGGTATTCTTATACACAAAGAAACGAGAATTTCTTTTCCAATATGTTCATTTGTGTGACTTGTTGTTACGTTGTCACAACTAAGTCCTCCCTTTAAGGTCGTGACATCTCCTGGATATGACCTACTCAGATTGCACTTAATTTTACTCCAATGGATATAGTTCAATCCCTCTTTAAATTTTCCTATGGGCACGGCCTTAGATAATCTAATTCCGTGGTATGGGCAATGATCATGCGCAATCTAAAACGTCAGACGAACACATATCATATGTGTTATATTGGCTCTGTATATAACCCCGCCTACTACAGTCAGTTATAACATAAGACTGACGTTGTCAGGTCATCAACCAACAGGTGTTTACCCAACGATATCTAGGACAGTTATACAAGGTAGGTTGTAATACTTAGATCTGTATGGAGATATTTTGTATCTTTATTTATACGAAGTTTTTAAAATAATTCATATCATATCAGCTATATTGGTAATATTTTAGTAAACTTATTGTTGTAAAAATTCCCAAGTGTGTGTAAGGTGTGTATTAATTAGCCGTTTATGACACTTGACTGACACTTTGTTCTGTACTGTTCCCGAAACGTTAGTATAGTCCATACATTCAGGCTTAATATTGTGCTCGGTATGTTAAGTATATTTTATATATATAGGTTAATAATGACGGTAGTCAATCTGATATATCTTTGTTATGTAATTCAAAACAAAGCAAGTTGTTCAAACACAGAGTGACTTCATACTTCATGTGGTATTCGTTTGTTTAGTTTTTATCATGATCAGGATGAGATAGGATGGTGCCTGTTATATGTCTATGGTACACGTTATATATTGTGTTAGTTGCGATGACATACGTATGGTGTCTGTTATATGTCTATGGTACACGTTCTATATTGTGTTAGTTGTGATGACATAAGTATGGTGCCTGTTATATGTATATGGTACACGTTCTATATTGTGTTATTTGTGATGATTTACGTATGGTGTTACCCATTATATTTCCCTGATATACATTATATCTTATTTTTATTGTGATGATATACCTATCTATTCTCTGTCACACGTTATGTATGTTATATATTTAGAACTAACATATACTTGACTATTTACAGGACTACACCACCTCATCAGCACATGGCGACGTTATCTGCAGGTACGTCGGTTATGTAATTTGTTGATAAGTCCACTCAAGTACTATACTCTAGGTCACGTACATCATCTTCTGCCATCTCTAATTTTGAGTTTCATGGTCAAAGATTTAAACAATTTTTAGATATAAAATTTAAAGCACGTATAATAAAACGATGTCTAATATAAAGGTCAGTACATAAGATTCCACCTACGAACTATATGTACAATGTAATGTGTTGTATGACAATGTTGGAGTCTGGCATGTCATATCCTGTCAATTTACACCAGCACCAGACACTCACCGAGTTCAAATCCCTTTTCAAAATAAAAAAATAAATCACGTTTGGCAAACCTTTTCAACCTTACCAGTTCATCCACTGCGTTGACAAAGTATTGACGTTTCATTGAACTGGAGAAAATAAACAAAAATGAAAGGACCCCAGAAAGCCTATCTTCGTAAAGTCAGCTAAGCAACCAAATACACATTCACTCTTTTGTAGACCATATTGCATATACATCGTACATTGTGTATTCTTGCAGTTTCATGTTTTGCATTCTGCTTTTTAAATCTGTATCAAAACAAATTATCGTCAGGAATTGCAAGAAGTAATATTTCTATGGAAATCATTTATTTTTTACGGGAAACGGGAAATTATTTCTATTTCAACATCACGACGACAGAAAGTTATGAATATAGCAAGAAAGAATCCATACATTTCAGTTTGTGGTGAGTTATGTAGTAAATAAGAACACTAGGTGGTGTTCAACATTTGCTTATAGCTAGATGTAGCAGGTTCGACTTAACTCCCGATCTCGTACAATTCTCCTGTGCAGAGGTGATTCGATAATTTGTAGGAATCAAGTGTTTGTACTCCATTTTGTACATATGACAATCTCTTATTTAGTGTACACCTTCACACCAGAGGGATTCCGAGTTACAAAAGATATGAAAAAGAGTTTCGATGATCAAGGATACATCTTAGTCAAGTAAGCGTTATCGTGATGATCAATCACATACCTTACTCCCTGGTAGATTATATTTTGCCGGTAACAATGAATTTGACAGCCAAACATGAAATAATAATCCATGCATAGCAATTGTATTGCAATAACAAGGCGTTCAGAGACATACAAATTAAATTGATTGGAATTTATACTTACCAGAAACAATTGATACTTACCAGAAACAATTTATACTTACCAGAAACAATTTATACTTACCAGAAACAATTTATTTACGGAAGAATCGTAATCAATAACCTTTGACACGTTCTTTCCTCTTTTATCTGTTTATTTCAATGGTAAGTTTAACCTCAGAAATTGTATAACAGATTACAGTTAAGCCAACAAATCAGTAACAATAGGCGAACTTTACTTCACACAGAGGGTTGTTTAATAACAATGAGATAGACAAACTTCAGAAAGTGTTCGAGGAGACGAACCTCATCATGGATCACGGATGGGGAGTAAGTACAGTTATACACTCTATGTTTATCCTTACTCACAGTATTTTAAACCAACTGTAATATCTATAATTTGACTCGTTCTCTCATGCATGACATAGAAAATATTCGGATAACAATTTATTTTATTAGCAAATTAGCAACAAATACTTGTTTAACTGGGAATTTAAAGTTTAAAGGGGATAAAAGTACATTATTGTAGCTTTTATTATTTTTATCTTTTGGCATACATATATTAAATATACAAATAAAAACAATGTCTGGAATATTTACAGGTGGTAGGTTTGCACATGAAGGTATTGAGTCATCTGCCAAATCACATGTGTGTTGTTCTCTGGTTTCGTTACACAGTAAAACAAATTACACGATTCCATCCACGTAATTAAAAAAGATTGATGTAAGCTTAAGTATTTGAAAGATCGGGAGGAATACTAAGTAATATAAAATAAATACATCAAATATCATGTGCATTATCAAAGTAACATTTTTTTTTTTATTTCTGAATGATTTTGTGCATAGATTGACGATGGCACAGGAAAGATAGCTAAACTTGCGGTCTGGAACAGTCCGGGAAGTGACGTATCTGGAATGATGGCACGGTGCGAGAAGGTCGTTACTACATGCGAAGACGTAAGTTAGGACTATCGTGTGATCTATTTAATAATGTCTTGAAAGGAAAACAACGTATTGTGCCCATCGTACCATTGTTTGGCTGCTATATGCACTAATACGAATGCATCAATAACAATAGGATAGTTATGAAATAATATGAAACGGTATCAAAATGAAATCGTGAACGCAGGAAGATGCATTGCCACACATATTCTTCATAACGTAAAAAGAACATGCACATTTTTTGGTCTTCTTTTTCACAAAACGGAATAGAAAAAAAAAAATTTGTGGTACTTGCAAAAACAAAATAGAATAAGAATGATCAGGTGTAATTAGCAAACTAAATTAATTCATAAATACAATGAATATGCGGAACCCTTTATAATATTTGCAGCATATTATGTTTAGAACAACTTAAATAGAATTCACTGTTATTAGAATTTGACAAAATAGTGTTAATAAGAATGTGTTTTCAAAGATTTCTTGTATTAGAAATAACAAGAGTAACTTTAATAATATTAGAGATGTAAAATACTGCAAGATTTAGTAATACTGCCTGTTGATCCTCAGTTATTGGAAGATGAGGTGTATCACTACCATGCGAAACTGACGTATAAGGATCCTTTGTCAGGGGGCTCGTTCGTGTGGCACCAAGACTACGGGTAAATCTTTGTGAGGGTGCTCGTTCGTGTGGCACCAAGGCTTCGGGTAAATCTTTGTGAGGGAGGCCGTTCGTGTGGCACCAAAACTACGGGTAAATCTTTGTGAGGGAGCTCGTTCGTGTGGCACCAAAACTACGGATAAACCAAACCGTCAGTCCCTTTGTTCTTTGAAATACTGCTTTAAGTGTTGATACAAATGTCAATTACATATGTATTGATCATTCTTATCTTAAGCTTTTCTATACATTGTTTCCAGATACTGGTATAAGAACACTTGTTTGTTTCCCGATATGATGACGGTTTTTGTGGCTATTGACAGATGTTGCCAATCAAACGGATGCTTGCAGGTATGACAACACATTAACCACAGGTATGACAACGCATTAACCACAGGTATGACAACAAATTAACCACATGTATGACAACACATTAACCACAGGTATGTCAATAAATAAATCACGGGTATGACAACACATTAACCACAGGTATGACAACACATTAACCACATTTATGACAACACATTAACCACAGGTATGACAACACAGGAAGCCACAGGTATGACAACACATTAACCACAAGTTTGACAACGCATTAACCACAGGTATGACAACACATTAACCACAGGTATGACAACACATTAACTACCGGTATGACAACACATTAACCACAGGTATGACAACACATGAAGCCACAGGTATGACAACACATTAACCACAAGTTTGACAACGCATTAACCACAGGTATGACAACACATTAACCACAGGTATGACAACAAATTAACCACAGGTATGACAACAATTTAACTACAGGTATGACAACACATAATACAAATGATACACAGTTATCACATTCTAGAAAATAACCACTTGTGTTGTTTATCTTGATAAATTTGCCTTTATGTGCTCGAAACAGAGGGAAGGCACATTCGATGGAGGACACGACCGTCTTTACTTGAATCACTATTTTAACTTTTACTGAGTTTTATTCATATGTTATTTTCTGAAAATACTGTTCGTTTAATTTAGAAACTGTTTTGATATAACTGTCTATCTTAACCTGTAATCGGTACGATCGTGATTGATTTTACAGATATTGCCTGGGTCCCACAAATGCGGCCGGATTGACCACGATATGAGCAGCGGTCAAACTGCAGCCAACGTTGACAGAGTTGAGGCAATACAGAAGGTGTGTCCACCCGCTTTTGTAGAGATGGAGTCAGGTAAGGTTGAAGCGTAGAAACAACACTGTTACATTGAGCAATGACACAATAACATATATTTAGTGTGGAAAGGAATTTCCCCTCCTTCGATTAAATTACATGGTGTTAGTTTACTCGTTGTTGTGAAAAATCCTACAAATTTTTAAACGAACAAGAAGCATATTTCGTATGAATTTCGTTTGATGCAATTATTAATAGTTAGTGATAAAAACGTCAAAAGAAATTCAAGTGTTGCTATTCAGGAAATGATTTTTATTGTATTATTTACCTTTGTGACTTTCTAAGGTGACGCCTTATTTTTTCACTGCAACTTGCTGCACTGTAGTGCTGCTAACGAGAGTCTTGAAAGGAGATGGGCTTACCTCATGGCATACAATACGAGGACAAACAACCCGGCCGTGACCCATCACCACGCCCAGTATACACCAATCCAAAAGGTAAGCATGATATATACGAGTATGCACCAATCCAAAAGTAGGTGTGACATATACCAGTATACACCAATCCAAAAGTAGGTGTGACATATACCATTATACACCAATCCAAAAGTAGGTATGACATATACCAGTATACACCAATCCTAAAGTAGGTGTGACATATACCAGTATACACCAATCCTAAAGTAGGTGTGACATATACCAGTATACACCAATCCTAAAGTAGGTGTGACATATACCAGTATACACCAATCCTAAAGTAGGTGTGACATATACCAGTATACACCAATCCTAAAGTAGGTGTGACATATACCAGTATACACCAATCCTAAAGTAGGTGTGACATATACCAGTATACACCAATCCTAAAGTAGGTGTGACATATACCAGTATACACCAATCCTAAAGTAGGTGTGACATATACCAGTATACACCAATCCTAAAGTAGGTGTGACATATACCAGTATACACCAATCCTAAAGTAGGTGTGACATATACCAGTATACACCAATCCTAAAGTAGGTGTGACATATACCAGTATACACCAATCCTAAAGTAGGTGTGACATATACCAGTATACACCAATCCTAAAGTAGGTGTGACATATACCAGTATACACCAATCCTAAAGTAGGTGTGACATATACCAGTATACACCAATCCTAAAGTAGGTGTGACATATACCAGTATACACCAATCCTAAAGTAGGTGTGACATATACCAGTATACACCAATCCTAAAGTAGGTGTGACATATACCAGTATACACCAATCCTAAAGTAGGTGTGACATATACCAGTATACACCAATCCTAAAGTAGGTGTGACATATACCAGTATACACCAATCCTAAAGTAGGTGTGACATATACCAGTATACACCAATCCTAAAGTAGGTGTGACATATACCAGTATACACCAATCCTAAAGTAGGTGTGACATATACCAGTATACACCAATCCTAAAGTAGGTGTGACATATACCAGTATACACCAATCCTAAAGTAGGTGTGACATATACCAGTATACACCAATCCTAAAGTAGGTGTGACATATACCAGTATACACCAATCCTAAAGTAGGTGTGACATATACCAGTATACACCAATCCTAAAGTAGGTGTGACATATACCAGTATACACCAATCCTAAAGTAGGTGTGACATATACCAGTATACACCAATCCTAAAGTAGGTGTGACATATACCAGTATACACCAATCCTAAAGTAGGTGTGACATATACCAGTATACACCAATCCTAAAGTAGGTGTGACATATACCAGTATACACCAATCCTAAAGTAGGTGTGACATATACCAGTATACACCAATCCTAAAGTAGGTGTGACATATACCAGTATACACCAATCCTAAAGTAGGTGTGACATATACCAGTATACACCAATCCTAAAGTAGGTGTGACATATACCAGTATACACCAATCCTAAAGTAGGTGTGACATATACCAGTATACACCAATCCTAAAGTAGGTGTGACATATACCAGTATACACCAATCCTAAAGTAGGTGTGACATATACCAGTATACACCAATCCTAAAGTAGGTGTGACATATACCAGTATACACCAATCCTAAAGTAGGTGTGACATATACCAGTATACACCAATCCTAAAGTAGGTGTGACATATACCAGTATACACCAATCCTAAAGTAGGTGTGACATATACCAGTATACACCAATCCTAAAGTAGGTGTGACATATACCAGTATACACCAATCCTAAAGTAGGTGTGACATATACCAGTATACACCAATCCTAAAGTAGGTGTGACATATACCAGTATACACCAATCCTAAAGTAGGTGTGACATATACCAGTATACACCAATCCTAAAGTAGGTGTGACATATACCAGTATACACCAATCCTAAAGTAGGTGTGACATATACCAGTATACACCAATCCTAAAGTAGGTGTGACATATACCAGTATACACCAATCCTAAAGTAAGTGTGACATATACTAGTATACACCAATCCTAAAGTAGGTGTGACCTATACCAGTATACACCAATCCTAAAGGTTAGTATGACATATACCAGTATACACCAATCCTAAAGTAGGTGTGACATATACCAGTATACACCAATCCTAAAGGTAAGTATGACCTATACCAGTATACACCAATCCTAATGGGAAGTATGATATATACCAGTATACACCAATCCTAAAGTAGGTGTGACATATACCAGTAAACACCAATCCAAAAGTAGGTGTGACATATACCAGTATACACCAATCCTAAAGGTAAATGTGAAATACACCACCATCTGATAACGACCAAGTCCTCCTTCAACACTACACTCATTCCATTTACATACACTCTAGTTGTAAATAATTGTAAAACTCCGTGTATGCCATACTGGGCTTTTTTTTTGTTACTGGTAATGTTTTAAACTATCTAGTAAACGATTTGATATACACATTCCAATTCTAGGATCCGCAATCCAATACATGCCGAAAATACTATTTTTAGTGACTCGTGCTGAACTTATCTAGTTATCCATGTTGAAGCCACAAATAATGTTTGAGGTGATAACCAACTATTAGAATAATAATAATCACGTTAAAACAACACACCATTCAATATACAAATGCATCTTACTTCAAACAGGTTTCCAACAGCGCCGTAGCGGACTGTACCAACTACCGCGACTTTACAGACAAAGATTTCATGGAGATCGGCTCGTCTAAAACAACAAGGGTTTCCTTTCGGGAGAGTCCACAGACACAACAGGAGTGTTAAACTCTAATCCGTTTGTTACACCTGAAGCAAACTGATTAGACATGCTATACAGCGTTAGTCATGTATATAACCAGATTAATACGTTACATGTGTCTCAGATCCAAGACATTTTCATGATTCCTGAAATAGCAATTCCATTCAAAGAAAACAAATCTTGTGTTAAATTACAATACCTTATGTATAAGTACCTCAAAGCTGCTTCTCTTGGTAATGTTTCTTAGTCCATTTTGATATTAGTTACTTCATAGAAGCATCGGTAGAGTGTAAGTTTGACAGTGGATAAGTCCAGAGATCGAGCCCTACAATTTCCGTTTTCTGCTTTGCGTTCTCATTTATTTTTGTTTAAACACTGTTATTCCAAATAAATGTTATATTGTAAAAAGAAATAACTTGCACTATATTTGTTGATAATTACTGAAACAAACATGCCATATTAGTGTCAATAGTGAAAGTATGTTCTTACTTGTCAGTAATCTTAACCGTAAAGGTACTTCATTAACTGTACATGCATTTTTTTGTAACAAATACATAACTCACTAACAAAGCAATAAAGCTGTCAGCATCAACAGTTGTTGGCTCTGTGTGAAGGATATTTGCCGAGAACTGTCCAACATGTAATAGAAAAAAGGTAGAGACCCGTTAAGGTCAATACATAGCCCTGTTTCTCATTTACAAAACTGTTTCAGGCTTTTATCTGACCTAAACTTAACCCTCTTTGTGTAGATATGATGTTGAGTTAGTTAGAATATTCCCTATTGGTGTTTGAAAGTAACTTTTTATAGACATACCTTCAGAAATAATGACAATTCTTCCAAAACAGACAGGATAAATATAAAGACGAACAAAAGATCTGATGAACAACGAAAAGGAAGGGATTTAAGAAAATCTTCAGAAAAGTGAGAGTGTTTGCGCAGGTGATAATGCTATTTACCACATTTGAACGATCTTTACTTTTAAGGTGTCTTTATTTTTTATAAAATAAAAACAGAATCATCGTGGGGATTCCTAAACTACACTAAACGGTAAACAAACAATTAATAACATGATGTTGCTGTTTTCAGATTGGACATACTGATGTAATTGAAACGTTGGTAGCACACACAGACGTTCAGTTGCAAGATTATACAAGCACACGAATACAATCAAATGTACGATGCTTCAGTTACAGGAAAATAAGGTTGTGTCAGCTCAAAATAGACATTGCTAGACAATATATCTGTTGGATCCTGGGTGAGGAGGATGGCCTGTCTGTAGGTGTTGTTTCGTGCCCTCGCGTCAATATATATTGTTTCCTGACTCGCTAAAAAAATGCATATTAATCAATTTCGACTGTTTCCCAGACAATTCACCAAACGAACTACAGCTAATGTGTGCTACCGTAAAACTGTTGACTGGTTACCCATAAACTGTTGACTGGTCTCGTGAAACTGTTGACTGGTCACATGAAACTGTTGACTGGTCACGTGTTAGGTAATCGAGCGCACCTATAATTACAAGCAACCCGATGATCAAGCGTTTTTGGTACTGGATTGTTGACGGTCGTCTGTCGGTAAACATCACATTCGACATGGAACTTTTTTCTTTTTCATTGGTCAAGTAACAAAACAGTTATGGTTAACATAACACTCGTAAATGGTTTTTATATAAAATACTGTCACTGTGCATCATACTAATCATTTTGTACAGAATGTCAAACAACAGGTAGACTGCATCCTTTATTTGTAAACATGTCATAGGAATTACAATATAAGTGATAATCTGTACTATAAATTAATGCGTATTAACCATATTTAACAACATGTAGTTTCATGTGTAATTAGTTGTTCCATTCAAAATAATAATAGATACTGTTGAGGAATGTGCCAGACAGCCAACAAAACAAGAGCATACTGAATTGGATTCACTTTCATGGTGGGCCAAATCCATCAGGTCCATTATTCAACAAAAAATTGGATGCTTGAAATGATGAATGGAAACAGAGACAGGTATGCGTTTCTTGGCCACGAAATCCGGGCCACGCTCGACGATCTTCTTGATTAGTGCGTGGTTGTGTCTGCGGACAGAGCTGCTGCTGACTACGTCTTTTAAGTGTCTACGGACACTATTGCATTGCCTGATTGTAGAGAGAGTTGTGCTTGCTGAAAAGCCAGGGAAGCCCTTCTCATGCATTTTTTTTTTCGAAAGGCGTAATGCAAATCACGCTTCCGTGTTGCAATCTTACGGGCCTACCTCGCTTGTGTTAGATTCCGAGGCTTTGCAGGAGTCCCTGTGAAAGCATCTTGTCGCTGGCTCTCCGAGTTCTCAATGTGAGAACGTGACATTATTCGGGTTTTGACTTAGATTTACATGGCAGGTGTCGTAGATGAAGCAGAAGACGCGTACCCTTCTGAAACACTTGGTCTGATTCTATTTTGCAGAGGTCTCCATGTAGGGGTCTCCATACCGTATCAACTTTATCATGGTTATGTCTGCGTAGGATAGTTACTTACGTGTTAGTACATGACCAATCAGCGAGCTACAATGTATATGATATAATTCAGTCAGACATGGTACGCTTATATATACATCAACTTCAAATCGAGGTGCATCAGTTCCCCATATGATAAGTGAAATTATCTAAAGGATTACAGATAAACTTCTGGATAGAAAAGAGTGTTTAATTCACTTTGTTCTCGCCTCTACACATTTTTTTAATTTTACATCTAATCATTTTCGTGAATTTTTTTGTCTCCCCATGTATCAAATTCACTACAGTATCGATTAATACATTCCTTATTAATTAAATTCAATTGAAATAAATTGCTGAAACAATATGCTACAACAACCTCACCTATCAGAAAAAAAACTTATCAACATTCATTTGACTACCTTATGGTTAGAACTGAGAAGAGTAGGCTTATTCGCTGTATACATTTGAAAAGTCTGAATGATTGAAACCTAATAACACGTGTTATATTTTGGTGCTTTAAAATGTTAATTTCTAGATTGCTGCTAGCATTCTACATTGGTCAATAACTAAATAATACAATCTGATATAAACATAAACACTCTCGTGTACACGCGTGTTGGATAAATACATGATAATCCGGTTAATCAATCAATATATGATTTATTATGTGTCAATTAAGATTTAAGTCGATACAAATCAGTAGAATAAAAATGATTGATATATGTTCCGCCGGTTTGTTTTTAGATATACGAATAGCATTTGTATCCGTCAACAGACACGTACAAAGTGATTTGTAACACACTTACCGGGAATGCTCGTTTTATTTGTGCCATTTTGTTTTTGTAACGTGCTTTCGAAACTATTTATGTCGAAATAAACTCAAAGACGTTTAAGATTGAGCACCTGTTTTAGAAAAAGTTTTAATCAAAATCTGATATGAGTAATGTATGCACCTTACTGCCTGTTTACCTGGCTGACTGTCTGCCTTCTGCCCTATTATTGCATTACAAAACAAAATATAGCATAACCAACTACACATCACATCGCACGACACCTTATAGACCAACATTTTAACAAGATGTGTTACTAAACTACGTGAACGTATATGTCAAAAAACTTACATGTGTAGTATATATCAGCATATTATTTAAAATAAATTAGTTATCACAAATAAATAAAATATATAAACCAGTTTTATTATTAATTTTGTGGTATTCCTGATTGATTAGAATAACATTTTATTGGCAGCTGGTTATCAGGATCGTATATATCTTGTTACTATTTGTAACAGTTTACCCTGGCCACAATACATTGTTTGGAGGGTGTTTATCAGGGTCGTTTATCTCTTGCTACTATTTGTTACAGTTTTCCCTGGCCACAATAAATCGTTTGGAGGGTGTTTACCAGGGTCGTATATCTCTTGGTCCTATTTGTAACAGTTTTCCCTGGCCACAATACATTGTTTGGAGGGTGCTTATCAGTGTCGTTTATCTCTTGTTACTATTTGTAACAGTTTTCCATGGCCACAATAAATTGTTTGGAGGGTGTTTACCAGGGTCGTTTATCTCTTGGTCCTAATTGTTACAGTTTTCCCTGGTCTCAATAAATCGTTTGGAGGGTGCTTATCAGGGTCGTATATATCTTGTTACTATTTGTAACAGTTATCCCTGGCTACAATGAATTGTTTGGAGGGTGCTTATCAGGGTCGTATATATCTTGTTACTATTTGTTACAGTTTTCCCTGGCCACAATGAATCGTTTGGAGGGTGCTTATCAGGGTCGTATATATCTTGTTACTATTTGTAACAGTT